CGGGTACGAGTAGGAGAGCGCCGGGTGCTGGCCAGCCAGCGCGGCCGACGCCGCCCCCGCCCAGGAGCCGTAGACCGGGGGCGCGCAGGGCGGCGCGGGCCTCCCCGCGCAGGCCGCGCTCTACGGCCACCCGGTCTACGGCTACTCGGCGGCGGCGGCGGCGGCCGCGCTGGCTGGCCAGCACCCGGCGCTCTCCTACTCGTACCCGCAGGTGCAGGGCGCGCACCCCGCGCACCCCGCCGACCCCATCAAGCTGGGCGCCGGCACCTTCCAGCTGGACCAGTGGCTGCGCGCGTCCACCGCGGGCATGATCCTGCCCAAGATGCCCGACTTTAACTGTGAGTACCGCGCAGCCCCCGGGCCCGGAAAGGAAGCCAGGGGAAAACGGGGGGAGGGGGAGTCCTGGCACACGGTTTTCCCGCGCAGCCTGCCTCTCGCTCTCCGCTGGGAGAGCGCGGTGGAAGCGCCGCGAGGCCGCCTCGGCTCCGCCCGGGGCCCGCGAAGACTCGTGCGGACGGCGCGCGGTGGGATCGGCGGCGAGTTACTAAAATGGCCACGCGCGGGCCCTGCTTTCTCTTCCTCTCCTAACGGGAAGGGGCAGCTGGAGGTGTGAGACTCGAATCTAATGATTAACCGGCAGGCTAGAGAAGGAAGTGGTGAGGGAAGGCGAGCCGAGGAGCACCCGAGTTAGGCTGGCCTGGGGCTTGAGGCCCCCCGGAGCCAGGGGCTCCTCTCCAGGGAAACGGACTTGACTTAGGTACCGCATTCTGGGTTCTGGAGGGACCCCCGGTCCCTCCCAAGAGGAGAGATTCAGGAGCACAGAACAAGAAATGGGCTTCAAGAGGCCAGGGCCGCAAGGCCAGGTCCCTGGCGACGCTCTGGCCGTCTGCGGGGTTGAGCCTGCCTCTGTGAGGGCGCCTGGGCCGCCGTGTGATGCCCAGGAAGCAGATGGCCTGACCCGAACCGAGCGTCGACGGGGCGCTCCTGCGGAAGGGGAGATACGTCTCTTTCAGTACCCCCGTCTCGGGGACTCTGGGTAGCAGGTGCCCGCCCAGAATTGGAGGTCCCCAATACAGAGCGAACCCTTCCCCAAGGTAGGAGCAAGGGAGGGCTGGCCACCCCCACCCGGAGGAGAGCGGCTGGACTGTGGGCAGGTGGTACACCTCCAGGTGGCCTGGGCCACCTTGTCTTTCCTGGCCCGAGGGCAGGCACACTGGGCTGGCGCTCCGGGGAGTCTGGGTCTCCTGTCGGCTCGCCCCACCGGGGCAGCATGCACAGGCTGATGCATAAGACTTCACGCTTTCAGCTGCAGAAGACCCAAACAAAGAGACCCCATTGTTTCCTTCTGGGTGGATGTGTTTAGACTGGGGAGATGCAGGCATAGGAGGGGAAAAAAGCAAAAAAGAAAACAAAAATAAGCACTTGGCAGAATTGAGATCCCTCTGCTAGAAGCCGTGGTTGTGACTAAACAGAGAAAAGCCAGGACCCTGAGGCTGGAGAAGTCACAGCCAGGTGAGAAAATCCCTGCGTGTGCACTGTTGGCCCACAGCCCACCCCAGGCGTTTCCCAGCTCAGCTCCCACAAGACCCTCATGGCCACCGAACGGCCGGCCGGCCGGCAGGAAGTCAGCCCATCCTGATCCCTACAGGGAAACCTCCAGCTCAACTCTTGTCTCACCTCATGTCTGAACCTGCTGATCCCGGGTCAGCCAAACCCAGGGCACTCTTCCCGGGCCTGGTCGCCAAAGCCTCCACACCCCTGCTCACGGAAAGCCACCCCATGGGTTTCCCCTTATGATCTGCATCTCCCTCGGAGGGGGCTGCTGGCCTGCACACAGGCCTCCCCTGGGCACTGGGTCCCCTGACCACGGCGGGGGGGTGGGGTTGTTCTCCTGGGCCTGCGTGGAACTCAAGGTCGCTCAGAAAACCGGTGAAAGCCACATCCCTTTGCCAACAGACTTCACCCATCCCTGATTCCTAATCTTGACCCAGAGGTAGCAGACTGAAAACCCAGGCAGCTTTAAGTTTAGAACAGAAATCTGAACGCCGAGTCCTAAAGGGCAATAATAAGCCGGCCAGGATGCCGGCGTCTGTTCTGAGGGTTCCTCTTCTGGTCGCTGGAAAACCTGTTTGGTTTCCTTAATAGGTTGTCTCCGCTGTTGGATGGCATGTCCCAAATGGTCCCTTTGGAGCCAGTGTTTTAATTAAAGTTCTAATGTATTGTCAAGTTGGGAATTGGGGCCTCATTTAACTAAAGCTGGGGGCGTGGGCCTTCCCGTAAAGCAAATTGCCCACCCCGGGGGCCTGAGCTCAGCCGCTGGACTGGCCTCTTTTTTTCTCTTCCCTTTATTGTCGAACACTTGTCAGGCTCCTGGGACATCAAGGCAGGTCGCATTTTGAGGTCACAAAATTCTCTGTGATGTAACCGTGTGAAATTATGTAAATACAGCCAAGGGACCTCCTTGAACACTGGAAAGCCGGATCTCCCCCCCCCCCGCCGCCCCCGGGGGGGGGGCCTTCCATGTGCAAAATGAGACTTGTTCTGAAAAGGCTTCCAGTCTCCCTGGGCTCTGCCCCTCTGCGACCTGGGTACGGGGCTGTCGGGAAGAATTTTCAGTGGGGGAGTCTGGTGAATTCACATGTTCGGGCCCAGGATTTGGTCCTTCTCCGGCCTTCCTCCTTGTTCCTTTCCCCCTTCTATGTACTTAAGGAGGGGGCAGTGGGAATCCCACACCAGTCCTTTGCTGGCTGGGAAGAAACGGGACTGGTGATTCCTGGGACCTGTCTCTTTGAGCCTGGGCTGGGGGAGGACTCAGTGAGGAGTGGGAGGAGGAGTGCCCCTCTGGCCTCTGCTTCTGGCCTGTCCACCTTCTTCTACACCGCCCACCGGGTGCACAGGGCTGCTGCGTGTGAGACACTCTCTTTAATCAGAACGCCCAGGCCCTGGGTTAAAAAAATTTGGTCCCGTTAAACCCGACTTGCGTGGCTCCACCTGGCATTCGGAGCCTGGGCTCCAGGGCCCCCTCCAGGCACACCCGCGTCCCCGGGGAGAGGACGTCCACACTGAAGGCAGAGCGGTGACGCCCTGGGCTGGTGGGCCGGGCAGCAGCCTTGCACAAGTGGCACAGGGCGCATTGGGTGGCAGTGGGGGCGGGAGGCCTGAGCCAGACTGCCAGTGTCATGCCCCTCTCTGTCCCCAGCCCAGGCGCAGTCCAACCTCCTGGGAAAGTGCCGTCGGCCCCGCACAGCCTTCACCAGCCAGCAGCTACTGGAGCTGGAACACCAGTTCAAGCTCAACAAGTACCTGTCGCGGCCTAAGCGCTTCGAGGTGGCCACCTCACTGATGCTCACGGAGACCCAGGTACACAGCCCCCCCCCCCCCCAACAGCTCACCCCCTGCCTTGTCACCTGTGCACCCCTGGCCCTCTGCTGGCCTGAGCACCTGGAGGCCGGTGGGTGGGGGCGGCTTTTGGACCCTTAGGGGGCGGGTTCCTGTCCTGGGAGAGTTAGCATCTCTGCCAGGGCTCACTTACCAAGCCCAGAGGTCCGATTCAGTAAGTTGGGCTGAGACCCAGAAATCTGCATTTGAAGGACACTTCACCGCCTCTTCCATTCCAAAGCAGTGGTCCCCAGGCCACGTTTGAGAAATTTTATTCCAAAAAGAGAGCAGGGGATGTGTACAGGTTTACAGATACGTCCTCTAGCTGCTCCGGTCCTATCTGGACAGTGCCAGAGCACCCCCAGAAAAAGACGGGAATCCCGAAGTCGAGGTCCCCGTCTGAGCCTCCTTGGAGCCCCCCAGCCCCACTCTGGGGGGCGCTGGTGCCTGGGGGGGGGCACCCCTTCCCCTGAAGCCCACTCCTGGGCCTTGTGAGGACCGGCGAGGTGCAGGTGCAGACAAGACTCCAGAGAGAGGACCCGTAGGGAGTGGCCAGTTTCTCACGCCCTCTTGTGCCCTCAGGTGAAGATCTGGTTCCAGAACAGGCGGATGAAGTGGAAACGCAGCAAAAAGGCCAAGGAGCAGGCGGCGCAGGAGGCTGAGAAGCAGAAGGGGGGTGGGGGCGCCAGCAAAGGTGGCCTCGGGGAGGACAAGGGGGACGACGAGCTGCTGGGGCCGCCGGCTGCCGGGGACAAAAGCGGCGGACGCCGCCTGCGAGACTTGAGGGACAGTGACCCTGAGGATGACGAGGACGACGACGACGAGGACCCCTTTCCCTACAGCAACGGCACGGGAGCGCACGTCTCCTCCGACTGCTCGTCCGAGGCCGATTCCCCGCCCCCGCGGCCCAATGTGCCCGGGCACCAGCCCCCGCCCCAGTAGGGGCCCCACGCCCCAGGGCAGCCCCGCGGCCCCCAGGCACCAGCCCCTGCCCCAGGAGGGGTCCCGCGCCCCAGGGCAGCCCCGCGGCCCCCCCGCCTCGAGGCTGCGCATCCTGGGGCAGGTTCGGGCGCTGTGCCTGTCTGCTCTCCAAGGGACCGAGAGAGAGAGAGAGAGAGAGAGAGAGAGAGAGAGAGAGAGGTCCGGCGGGTGCACCCTTGAACTCCTGTCCTTTTTAATTTAATTTTGGTTAGTGTTGGGGGTGCTGTTTGTCAGACGATCTGAGCGCCACCAGGGGAAGGCCCCCACTCCTCCCCACTCCTCCCCACTTCCTGAATGGAGAAGGCCGGGACCTCTACAGTGTTGGACGACCTGGAAAACTTGAGTATTGATAAAGGGAAACTGTTTTGTGCTTACCTATCTGGGGGGAACTTTATGTCACGAGCTTTCAAACTGCTGGAAATCTCAAAACTGTACTGTCTTTATTTTTGTACATTGTATTTATATATATATAAAGAAACGACTACTTATGCATGCTAAATTATTATTTAGCTTCTCCCATCGCCCACGATGGAATGTAAAATAAATTGGTTTTTTACTGGATGAGAGCCCAGATCTTGGGGGGGGGGGTGAGTTAGGAAAGCGGACTTTACTATTTTTGTTTTTGAAATGAGGGGTTGGGTGTTATTCCACCGACCGAAGGTGCAAATCAGACTTGCAAACCGGTGGGAGGAGCACCTCCCTCTGCGGGCGGGCCGGGCACGGTCCCGGGGCTGGGGACTCGCAGGTGCGACAGGTTGGTGAAAATACCTGCGACCAGGCGTCCGCCTGTCCGGATGCGGGGATCCCAGGAGGGTAACGGGACTCGGTGGGTTTACTTTCCTAGCTGCTCGAGGATCTCGCGGCACCGGCGCTCCAGGAGTGGAGACGCACCATTCGAACGTTTCGGCAAATAAGCCTTACCACGACTGGACGATTTCACCGGCAGGCCTTTGGGGTCCGTGTGGCCCCGGGCCCCCCGGCTTGCCTCGCGTAACCCCGGGCTCGTTCAAGGGCCTGCCTCCCGCAGAACCTTCTGGGTCCGGCCGGAAACGGTTTTCTGGGATCCGTGCAGACGTCCGCGGGGACAGCGGCGGCGACAGGATCGCTTGGCGCCGGGTCTGCGACGGCTCCGGGTCAGTAAACCTTGCGGCGTGCGCCCTCGGTCACCGGCCGGGCCCGCCGCCATGTGCCGCACAGATGCCCCCTGCACCTGCGCCCGCCGCGCCGGCCCGGTGGCCCCTCCTGGGCCCGGAGGAAACAGGCGACAGGGCCCGCCCCGCGTGCCCTCCCCCGTCCTTCTGTGGCTCGCGCGACCTCACTGGCCGCCGGGCGCGCGGGGAGCGCCCCTCCCCCTCCCGCTGATCAATGAGTTCAGGAGGGCCTGGCGTTTCATTTGGGTGATTACCGCGGGCCAGCGGGGCCACTCCTCTGCCTCAGGGCCGGGGTGAGATTAATATCCTCTCTGGCAGCTCATTATCACCCCGGGCTCGTTCCATAAAATGCAACGTCAGCCGAGGCCGGGCGCGGCGCTGCTGGAGCCGGGAGGGAGCAGCTGCGGGCAGGGCGCGGGCCTCGGCCGCCTCGGGGTCCAAAGGTGCTTCTGGGGACCGGGGGCTGGGTTTGCAAGCGGTGGGGAAGCCAGAGGGCCCCGAGGAAAGGGGGTGGGGAAATTGGACAGGGGTGGGGGAGGGAGAGAAGGGAAAGAAATGCCTTTTGGGGGTTAAAAAAGCCCCCACAAAACCTCCGCAATCTGTGGATCTGGCGTCTTCATTCCTAACACGCTGGTGAGGTTCAGCCCGCAGCGATCTCTTCTCCGGCTGGCGGGCTTCGGCCTGGGGGT